GACGTAACTTGCTTCTGAAGCTTTCTTTGATCACTTCCTAATACTTTACGCTGATTAACGAAGATATTAAAACAAATGGAGCGCTGCATAATTAAATTGAACTGCTTGTCTCTGTCAAAACGAGGCTTTCGTCTTCGGCGCCATCTTGTCTCTTCTCTGATGCAAACCGACCCTTAATTGTTTTCGGCCCACACCACCACAGACAGATGAACGGTTAGGCGTAGACCAGCGCCCTTCATCAGGGTCAGCTTGGAGAGCAACTTACGTCTTCCAACCTTCCACACAGACTCCCGTGTACACACTTTCTCTTTCCTCGGCGAGAGTAATTGGAAAAAGGGGGAAAAATCTCCGGGGCTATTTTTGATCTAAAGACCGAAGCTTGTTACCTCCATCGCGGGTGCTGCGCTCCGGGTGGATGGCAAATTGTGAAATGCTAATTTTAGTCTTTCTCGAAACAGCTGGCGGCGTGGCGTGGAGAACGCCGTGTTTAATGGGGCGGTGATCATTTGTTAATTTCTTGAGTGGAAAGTGTTGAAAAGGCAAACGGGCTTTTGATGCTAAGGCGTTCCGTTGCAATCTCATTGCATTTTCTTTGCTTCCTTTTCGTAATAGACGTACAACATGAGGACTCATTTTACGAGAGGACACTCGAAGGAATTTGATATAAAAGATTATAAGATTTATAATACCAGATCAAGAATCGACTATTATGTATCATGAATTTTATTACATATTCTTACTTATTAACATTAGTCATTATTATTGTTGTAAGGATACTTTTAATCCATATTATTATTATTGCTTTTTATCCCAACATTATTTTATTACTAGTTTGCTTCCATTTTATTAGTGTTGCTTTTTATCCCAACATTCTATTATTATTTTATTACTAGCTTTATTCCATATTATTATTGTTACTTTTTATCCCAACATTATATTATTATTTTGTTACTAGTTATATTCCATCTTATTATTGTTGCTTTTTATCCCAACATTCTATTATTATTTTATTACTAGTTTTATTCCATCTTATTATTGTTGCTATTTGTCCCAACATTTTATTATTATTTTATTACTAGTTTTATTCCATCTTAATATTGTTGCTTTTAATTCCAAGATTTTATTATTACTTTATTACAAGATCCACTCCATGTTATTACTGCTGCACTATGCTTGTTCGATATTGAACGGCTTAAGCACTTATATTAGCCCATATTTTCCTAGAAGAAAAATCCTTGTAGATGACATTGTCATTCTAACATCATCTTATTGTAAAAGACGTTTAAAGTTAATAGAAGCTTTTTATATGAACCAGTTTAGGCTGAGAACTCGATATCAATTTTCGATATTTGTTTAAGAGTTGCTACTATTCTCATCAGCGGTGATTAACTGAGTGATTCGTTTTTTACGGTTTATCAACCCTTTATGGGCAACTTAAAGTCGGACTATATTTTCAGTTGAAAGAATAGTTATTTTTTTAGAGCGAATATTGCATTAAAAATTTTCTTTTTTAGAATATCAATGTTTATTCTTTTTCAGATACAAGTTTTACTATTTAATCCATAATTAAGGGCATGAGATGGATTCTTGCCTTCTCCAAGATTATTTGCGCGTAAGGAAATGGAACTAACCCTACTGGAATTCGAACTCGGTTCTCCGAGTTCTCATGCCGAGCGGATATCTATTGCACCAGCCGCACTTCCTACTTCCATCCAACACGGTTAAGAATCACTCCCCTTTCTACACAATACACCTTAGAACACAAGTAAGGAACAATCACCAACTCCTTGAAAATGGCTAATGAATTGATAGAAAGTAGTTGGGATAATAATTCGTTTGGATAATTTATTTTGGTGGAGTAGGTAATGGCTGCTCCAGTTCCTGATAAACAGTAACTACTTATTTAAGACATTGCATACCGAGAAAGACAATATTCGGAAAATGAAAAATTGGATCTGGTCTGAACAGTAACATCGGCAAAAACAAACACCAGCTGATATGTTTAGAGACAGAATACAAACATTATGGAAACGGATTTGTTGTCAAAAGTAAATGGAAGAATAATGTACATCGATGTTGGAAAATATCAGACCATCTGTCTGTAATGCAGTTCACTGTTCAAGAAAGAAAAAAAAAACACACGAATGTTAACAAACAGAATGGATCCAGAATGGCCAGCTAACAAAGTCAAGGAGTTTTACTTTGAAAAGACTGACTTTATAAAGTTCAGAGGTCATCCAAGAACCACCCTAGTCACAACGCTGACCCGAGACATTCAAAGAACAAGGCAGAAAGATCCCATTTTTTCTTTGGAGAAGTTTACAATCAAGGAAGATCTGCAACGAATCTGAAAACTCGCAGAGGACAGACAAGGCCGGCAAAATATTGTCGAATCAGTAGACAATGTCACTGAAGATGAGAGAACATGCTAATTATTCATGACCTCAAATCAAAACAGGATGATGATGATGATGATGACACCTTATTCTTAATCATCTGTAAAGAAATGTAAGAACAAAATATAAACTGATGATCTTTTCTTTGTACGTCGCTTACAATGAAACATGTATAAAAGAAAGGTTGCTCCTCTAATATACAATACATATGGTTTAACTTCAGGCTTCCCTAGGATGTTTTGACACACACACACACACACACACACACACACACACACACACACACACACACATATATATATATATATATATATATATATATATATATATATATATATATATATATAGGAAAGGTAATAAATCCGTTGATATATAATCCAAGTAGATCCTAGTAATATCAAATATTAAAAATGATCACAAGGATCAATGTATTTATTATAAGAGAGTATATAAATTACACAACAAAATTGATACTTATTTCTTAATCCTATCTAAGCTTTCGGCTTACATAAGCCACTAGCAGTAGAGCCCGGCGTTGCCCGGGGATGCAACAGTAAAAGATAGATCAAGTATCGACCATCATAAAGACTGAAAAATAAAATTGACAAAGATTATTGTTTAAGGTTGACGGACACGCATGTCTTAATTAGTTTTTTTTTTTTTTTACGAATTGGTCAAACCCAAACTCAAACAAAAACATTGTTTTCAATCGTTATGAGTCTACCGATTGAATAGAATTTTATTATAAACAATTGTCTTGTAAATGGGAATTTTAAAAGCATTCTGGATGTAAAAAATAAAAGAAAAAAGTGTGCAAGACAATAAGAAACACTACCTGCCAAAAAAAAAAAGTGAAGTTTTTGTTGAAATCGGTTGAAAAATGTGGGAATCCGATCCCATATATAAACGAACACACACACAAACAACCTGGGGTTTTATAATAAGTATAACTCGATATGAGTTGTCCTCCTTTAATTCTCGTGATGCCTCTTAATCGTGTTTTCAAATTGATTTCGTGCAAAAACAATTGTGTTTTTCAAATTTTTGACGCTGTCAGAACCACCGCAAGGTAATTTTACGTAGTCCTGTGAGGTTTTGTTGAAATCGGTTAAAAAATGTAGGAAATCCGATCCAATATATAAACGTACAGACACACACACAAAATCTACGTTTTATAAGAAGTAAGATTATCAAAGATGACAATTACATTACAATATATTAATCAATACACGGACAAGACAGTGATGATATTCTGTTTCTGTTTACATGGAAGATTTCCAAGCAACGACAAATTCGTGCATATAGGACGCTGGAGCGAAAATCGCGCCGCAGCCCATGACGTCACACATGACCACGCGAGAGTGAAAACGAGAAGTATTAAGGATGGGAAGCCGTTGGTATAAACCAATGGCTTCTGTTACCAACTATAGACATTTAAGAATATTTGTGGAGATTTCATAGTTTACGTGCTCTTAACCGAAGAAGCCACAGATACGCTTTGAGCAGATATGAATGTTTTTGAGAGATCCATGGAAGAATGAAGTTTATAAGCAGGAAAATCGACATTGCCAACCGAACGCTCCTCTGTGGCTCGATCGGTTAAGGCACGTCAGGCTAAATGACGGTTCCGTAGAGGATACAGTTTCAATTCCTGTCGGAGGACGAATATTCTCTTTGAAAAATTTTCGGACATTTAGGCCGGTAAATGTTATAAACACTGTTTATTATAAAACAGCATTTACTTAAATATTTGTATCTATAAAAAGAATGTATAAACATAAAAATGGCTTTATATATATATATATATATATACTATTGAAATTTCCAGTTGTAAAGTAAATTTGCTCTGTTTAATGTGAATAAAGATAGAGCGCTCTTTTGTGAGTCAGTTTTAACATATTTAAAATTCAATAGGCATTACCAATAATTTTATTATTAATTATATATATATATATATATATATATACAATGAATGTCTATTATGTCTCACAAGACCCATCCTCAGTCAAAGATGATATTTTGTTATTTTGACATAGAAGATAACGGTCGTGGAATAGCAGACACGTGTCGTAACTTCAAGATCAGTTCTATGACATCATACCACGCGAAAGACCGAAGTATTACAACAAAACCATATGTTTAGATGCAATGTAATGTATTGTGACTAGTTTGAAATTTAATTTTGTTGAGTGTGGGTTGCTTCGTTATATAGATATATAGATGGCCTCCAATATCTGAAGGTTCTTTTTACTGTGTTTATGCGTGAATATTATTGTGTTATCAAATAATATCTGTCTAATATTATGTACATGGGTACGCTTTTCTAAGAAATGTTGCTTAATAGAACTAGGGCGAAAGGTGACAGAAGGTGATATATATATATATAAGCACGGTGGGGTAATGGATATCGGCTTGGATTGTGGAATCGCAGAGCCGAGTTCGAATCCAGGTTGAACCCATTACATTAACTTACATGCTAATACCCTTGGGAAAGGTGTGAATCCTCTTCTTCTCCCTCCAGCTATGGGTTAAATAGCAGGACAGACTGGGTTTTATAGCCTCGGATGGCAACTGGTCTAGGAGGACAACTCTGAATTCAAAACCTGAGGGGGGTTGTTTGGGGACCTTGTGGCACGTAGTGCACAAGATATCTGTATTCGGCCCTTCAAAAAGTGTGGATGGTCCTGCACGAAGCCTTCACCACTATAATCGAATCTCATGTGCCGGTGTCGCGCTGTCAGTTTCCTGGAAACTGATCTGCTTGACCCTCATATGTCGAACCCGACGGGAGAATCGATTTATATATATATATAACGGTTGTAACAGCAAAATTGTTCAAGTCATGTAACTGCATAATTGTCCATTCGACAAAATCTTTAATATCTAAAAAAAAAAAAAACACTAAACTAATTTAGTTTCTTTTTTTCCAGATTTTCAAATAAGACGTTTAGCCATCTTGAGACCATTTTTCGTAAAAATCACTGAAAAAATCAGTTATTCAGTTATTCAGCTAGAAAGAGTACAGGTTAAAATTGCTTTGTGTCGGCCCCACTGTCTTGCCAACTGAGCAATGGTGATACGAAAAAACATTCAGGCCTTCAGTAATGGCACATCATTCATACTCTGGCTTCCATCTTTAAACCCATTCCAGAACCTTCAAGATAACGGTGAATATATTTAAATAGAGGGAACAGTATAGAGGAAAAGTGGTTCAGGAGGTCACAACAGGAAGAGGGA